TATCAGTCTGGAAAAGGTTACAAAGCCATTTCTAAAGCTTTGGGACTCCAGCGAACCACAGTGAGAGCCATTATCCACAAATGGCGAAAACACGGAACAGTGGTGAACCTTCCCAGGAGTGGCCGGCTGACCAAAATTACCCCAAGAGCGCAGCGACGACTCATCCAAGAGGTCACAAAAGACCCCAGAACAACATCCAAAGAACTGCAGGCCTCACTTGCCTCAATTAAGGTCAGTGTTCATGACTCCACCATAAGAAAGAGACTGGGCAAAAATGGCCTGCATGGCAGAGTTCCAAGACGAAAACCACTGCTGAGCAAAAAGAACAGAAAGGCTCGTCTCAGTTTTGCCAGAAAACATCTTGATGATCCCCAAGACTTTTGGGAAAATACTCTGTGGACTGACGAGACAAAAGTTGAACTTTTTGGAAGGTGTATGTCCCATTACATCTGGCGTAAAAGTAACACGGCATTTCAGAAAAGGAACATCATACCAACAGTAAAATATGGTGGTGGTAGTGTGATGGTCTGGGGCTGTTTTGCTGCTTCAGGACCTGGAAGACTTGCTGTGGTAAATGGAACCATGAATTCTGCTGTCTACCAAAAAATCCTGAAGGAGAATGTCCGGCCATCTGTTCGTGACCTCAAGCTGAAGCGCACTTGGGTTCTGCAGCAGGACAATGATCCAAAACACACCAGCAAGTCCACCTCTGAATGGCTTAAGAAAAACAACTGGTGGCCCAACCAGTCATTAGGTTTAGGGGGCAATCACTTTTTCACACAGGGCCATGTAGGTTTGGATTTTTTTCCCCCTTAATAATAAAAACCTTCATTTAAAAACTGCATTTTGTGTTTACTTGTGTTATCTTTGTCTAATATTTAAATTAGTTTGATGATCTGAAACATTTAAGTGTGACAAACATGCAAAAAATAAGAAATCAGGAAGGGGGCAAACACTTTTTCACACAACTGTATATATATTATTATATGATACTGAGACTATAATAACATGTCCTGACATGTTTATCAAAGTGTTATTTTCTGCTTTTTTCATGTTGGAATAAAGGTTAAATATTTAACTGTAAAGTATTAACATGTGTTTGATACCTTAATGTTTTTGCATGAAATCATTCTTGGATGTTTGCTGACATTGATGGATGTGGCTCAGCCCTACAGAGAACATGCTCCACCAGCTCCACTGATTATATATAATTTATATATTTGAATGATGTTTGTACCAATACGACCGTGAAATGTATTTTAAGAAATATTTACATATTTTCATTTTGATTACTTACTACATTAAATACAATAATACAAATAATACAAGCATCATGACATCTAAAAATGAATAACATTTTATATATATATATAAATAAATAAATAAAAGTTCATTACAGTCACTTTTACTGTATAAAGGTTTATAGCTTCAGTTAGTTGGTCGACAGAAAGAACTTCCATTTAAAAAGTATTATTATTTAATGATTGTTTCTGCTGATATTCCTTTTTTTTTAATGCGTAAATTTGCATTTAATTCCTTTTCAACGTCACCATTTCACCAAAGCTTTTATTTTGAAGACGACACTGGGTCGGTTCCGGTTTCACTCCGGATGACTTGATGGAGCAGCTGGTTCTGGTTGAGGTTCTGGTCTAGATCCTAATTCTGGTTGAGATCCTGGTTTTGGTTGAGGTTCTGGTTGAGATTCTGGTTTTGGTTCTGGTCTAGATCCTGGTTCTGGTTTAGATCCTGGTTTTGGTTCTGGTTTAGATTCTGGTTGAGGTTCTGGTTCTGGTCTAGATCCTAGTTCTGGTTTAGATCCTGGTTTTGGTTGAGGTTCTGGTTCTGGTTTAGATCCTGGTTTTGGTTGAGGTTCTGGTTCTGGTTTAGATTCTGGTTCTGGTTGAGATTCTTGGTTTTGGTTGAGATCCTGGTCCTGGTTTAGATCCTGGTTGAGGTTCTGGTTCTGGTTTAGATCCTGATTCTGGTTTAGATCCTGGTTCTGGTTTAGTTTGGACCAAAACTTTATCTGAATGATTTCCTGAACTAATATTTTATCATAATTTATTTTATTTCCTCTTTTAATAAAATAAACTTTTTCCATTAAAAACATTTACTTTTTCCAGGTTTTGTAAATCATTTTTAATTTCCTGTTTTAAGTTTTTTTTTAACCGAAACCAATAAAAATATTCTAATATATAACATTAAATTAATATAATTATTTACTTCAAAACATTCATTTACAAATACTTCATATTGTAAATTATATTATTTATTTTTATCATATCAAATATTATATATTTTAAATATTATATAATATACCTATATAAATATAATATATTATTATAATATAATATATAGATATAATATTATATCTATATATTATATAATATTATATAGATATATTATATTTATTTTGTATATAATAAATGAACTATCTATTTCAGTAACATTCAACCTTTAGAAGAAGCGCCGCCCAGTGTCTGAGAGAGGAAACAAAGCAAGAGAAGGAAAGGAAGAAAGTGAAAGTGTGAAAGTGAAAGAAGAGAAGCGAACAGACGGATTGTGTTTTCTGCCAGTGAACGTCTCGTCCTTTATTCCAGCCAGCGTAGGAAAATAGATTCACATTAGAGTTCTGTTCTCCGTCACATTTCTCTTCACAACAAAACAGAACCTGCAGCTGCATCATTCCTAGTCATCAAGCCGACGAGCCGACAAGTCAACAAGCCAACAATTCAACAAGCCAACAAAACAGGCTCCATTAAAACAAACTGGGGTCGGAGTGAAAACTCACAAAGTAAGTAAAGGTGTTTCACTTATTATTGGAGGGGGGGGGGGGGGGGGGGGGGGGGCGGGGGGGGGGGGTTAAAGGGACAGTGTGTAAGATTTAGTGACATCTAGTGGTGAACCAAGTTATTTATAATTTAGATATAATTAAATATTGTTTCTAGAGCAGAGTCACTTTATAAAGTCATTCATATTTATATAATATTCACTAGAAACAAAATGAATAATGTTCATAAAATAAATAACATTTCTGACTGAAGTTTATAAAGAACGGATGAATGGATTAGGTTTCACTTTCGTTTACGGGTTCACAGATTTATTGATAAAGTTTTGGCTTTTTACTCACAAATATGTATCTGTGTGTGTGTGGAGTTGTGTGGGTGTAGTTGTGTGTGTCTATGTGTGTGTGTGTAGTTGGAGGAGCTCCAATAATAAACCTGATAATAAATGACATCAAAACATTAAAATACGAATAAAACTAAAACATAGTTATGAATATTATATTCAATATCTTCCAATAAATCCCGACATGTTACACACCGTTCCTTTAATTTAAAGGAGTAAAGTGCAAAAAAAACACGAAACACAAAAACACCGTCTGATTACAGGGAAAGAAAAAGAAAAAAAATACACAAAAAAACAACAAAACAGTCACCGGAAAAAAACATGCAGGAAGCAAAGCAAAGATCTCCATAGCAACAGTAACAACAACAACAACAACAACAACAACAATAATAATAAAGTCAACAAGCTGTAATAAGACTCTCACAGAGGGAACAGAAGGCAGCACGAAGCTCTAAATGTTGCTGTTTGATGTCAGAGTCCCAGTCAGCTGTTCCAGGACTTCATTACCCAGAATTTAACGAACTGAATCCAGGAGATTTAAATGTGAGTGAGTCTCTGACAGGAAACAGGGCTACTTTCAGTTTAGACTGGGAGTTAATCATCATCATCACCATCATCACCATCATCACCTTCATCACAATAAGCAGTGTTGACCAGGATCGTCTCCGTCCATCCAACGTCTCGTCATCTCGTCACCTGACCGTCGAGTGGACCTTCAGCTCGTTTCATTCGTTCTGTTGAACTCTTTCTTCGTGTTATTTTGAGAACAGATGTTAAAGAGTCGTTAAGACGAATCGATCGAGTCGATTAGTTTGACTGTGACGACTCTCTTTGAGGTTAAAACCTCAGAGACCTTCAGAGCAGAAGAAGTAAGACGTCTTCTTCTTCAATAACAGAACAAATGCAATGCTGAGTTCACACCAAACGCAAAGCAATGATTGTTCATGTAAAGTAAACCGCGTCATGTCTGAGTTCATCACTTCATCCAGAGGAGTTTTCACTGAAGCTGGTTTATAAGGATGTTTGAACACAAAATACACCATTTTGTTGTAATTTAATTACAATAAACAGATAAAAATGATGCTGAAATGACGACATAATGATGGAAATTTATAAAAAGTCTGAATTCATGTTTTGTTAGTTCTCTCTACAAGACGACAAGTAAACAACTTTTAAATGACTTGTTTTCTGAATGGAGTCTGGTTTGATTGGTGCTATGCTAAGCTAACATTGTAGCTGCTCCACCAACACTCAATACAGCATCATCTAGCATTGACTTCATATGTTCCTCTCTAGCTTTGCGTTTGGTGAAAGTAGCATCAAAAGGTCTCTTGATCACTGAACTCGTACTTCCTGTTTACTTCCTTTGAACCTGCATGACGTCTACGAGCTGAGAACGGAACCGGTTTTATCTTGTGGTTGAACTGAAGGACACTTGAAGCCGCTTTGAGCTCCACCGACAGATCCAGTACAGGAAGTGACATCAGAGGACGCCGTGTCATTGAGTCTGATCCTTCAAGGTCGACGCACCGCTACCCGAATCCCGATCCTTTAATCTTTGATTATCTGACCCGTTTCTGGTTTCTTTTTTGAGCAACACGGCTCCACAGTGAAAGATTCCTATGACCACCTCCACCTTCAGACCCGGGTTCCTAATGCAGGACCAAACTGGACTAAACTGGACCATATTAGTTCAAACTGGACCGTACTGGATCAAACTGGACCACATCAGTTCAAACTGGACCAAACTTTTCCTGCCTTTACAGACTCGTTCTGAACTATTCCTAGAACCCCTCTTAGATCTGGACTTTGTTAAACACCTGGACCTCTTCTTCATCATTTATTTTTTACAGATTCTGCAGGGAGCTCCTCATGTCCAGTCAGTCCAGTCAGACCAGTAAGTGGGCCAAACTGAGGCTTCATGCCATCTCCGACTTCCCATGAACCATTTCTTGGTCAGATTCTTTTGAGTGCTGCCGAACCTTCCGGACTTCTTCGAACACAGATTCCAAACTCATTCCAATTTAAAGACCAAACTGGGGCGTCTTGCGATCAGGGACTTCCTCTAATCTCAAACTTATTTTAGAACTTAACTTTCACAGCCGAACTTCCAGAGCTCGATTCTCATCTTTCAGGTTTCTTTCAAACATCAACACGGTCCAGGTTTAGGTCCAGTTCCCCCAGTTAAAGAGCAACGGTTCCTGGGCCAAACCAGGAATTCATGCCATTCATGACTTCCTTTGAAGCATTCTTGGAACAAAGCAACTGGACTTCCGAGTCCCTTTTCCAAACCTTCAACCACAGGATTCATAGCATGTCCAGTCGGCCCAGTTAGAGGTCCAACCTGGTCCAAACTAAAGCTTCCTCCAATCACTGACTTCCAGTTAAGAGCAGCAGGTCCTGCTGTAGGAACCTTTTGGATCGACTCTAGATTACCAACGAGACGCTAAAAGCATCACTTCACTTTATCATCAGGGCTGAGAAACATCTCAACTGTTGTCAGATATCGGATTGAAATTATGAATCCAGTCAGTAAGTGAGGATTGCTGATGAAGGGGCAACTTGTAGGACAACAAGAGCAGGCAACTTTGCCTTAAGCGTTGCTCTCATGTCTTTAACCCTGCAGTGGTACGGTCTCTGTATGCGTCAAACAAAGTTATTGTTGGCTAATCAAGCTCAGCAAGTCCCAAGTCAAGAGCCGAGTCAAGACCCACAAGTCCCAAGTCAAGACAAACAAGCCCCAAGTCAAGAACTAGTTGCAAGTAAAGACCAGAGTCAAGACCAAAAAGTTCCAAGTCAAGAACTAGACTCAAGTCAAGACTAGCAAGTCCCAAATCAAAACAAAAAAGTCCAAAGTCAAGAACTAGTCCCGAGTCAAGACCAACAAGTCCCTCGTCAAGTACAAGTCCAAAGTCCCAAGTTAATGCCAGAGTCATGAACAAGTCCCAACATCAAAACCAATAACTTAAGATTCAGAGTCAAGTACAAACAAAGTGATTGTCGTACCACCAACAAGTACCAAGTCAAAAACAAGTCCCAAGTAAAGACCAACATGTCCAGATCTAGTCAATCTAGTTCCAAGGTAAGACCAAGTCCTGAGTGAAGTTTAAACAAAGTGCTTGTCATTTACTCCAAAAGCACTTAAGACCACCTTTCCAATGTTCAAATTAATAAAACAGTCAACTCCCAAGTCAACAAGTCACTTACCAACTCCCAAGTCAAGACCAAACAGTCCAGAGTCAAGGCCAACAAATACCCAATCAAGTCCCAAGTATAGACCAACAAGTACCACATTAGGTACAAGTTCCAAGTCAAGACCTGAGTCAAGACCAACAAGTCCCAAGTCAAGAGATATCAAGTCCAGGTGAGGTCCCCAGTTATGACTTGAGTCCAGGTCATGTGACGTGAGTCCAGACTCTAGTCACACGTTGACGTGTCGTGTGAACAAGTGAATTTGAGGCATTGTGAACCCTTTAAGTGTTTCCTGTCGCCCATCAAGTGAAATGTTGCTTCAACCATCTCGTTTAGTTAAATCTCTCTAAATCCCTCCAGTTACTGCCACTTTAAACGAGAGAGCATTTCCCTCTTTAATTATTATTCTGACCTGATAAATATAAATCTGAGTGCAAGCATGAAGCAGAGTTACAGAAATACAGCAATGAATTCATAACACACAAGTCCTTTCTCTTGTTTTTTAAATTCTAACAGTGCAACTCTTTGTTCCAGTTCTGTCTGAAGGGCGGAGGCTCTGCGGCCGAGACGTTTTCAGTCAAGATGTTTTTCCACATTTTGGCACTTGACTTTAGCGATTAAAAAACGTAGCGTTAGCATCATTAGCGCTCCTTTTAACTATAAACCGCGGGTCGTGCTGTAAGCTAGGCTGCACTCGCCTCACGGCAAAAAGGTCAAGAGCTCGAACTCACTTTCCCATCATGCAACAGTTTTTAACAGTCAAAAATCTTTTTTCGGCGTCCCTTTAAACAACCTGCACACACACTCTCACACACACACACACTCACACCTTGATTTTTGTACAAATCTGTGATCACGAGGGCAGACAGCGAGCCCTGTGATTTTGTAGCACCAACGAAGAAGATGAGGCAGTTTGGCAAAGAGGTGAAGAACAAATGTCAGAAAGGTGACGTTACCATGACGACGGCGGGTTTAAACTCCTCCACCAACGAAGAAGAAGAAAGGAGGAGCAAATCATCCCGAATTTAAGTTCAAGCCCTTTTGTTGTTGTTCTGCTTTTCTTTAATAACGACTAAAATGATTTGTTTGTGAAAACATCGCGTGTTTAAGGACTAAAATAAAATACGTTTTTCTTACAATTAATTGATTAATTAAAAAAATAATATAGTAGTATTTCTTAAAGTGTTTTCTTTTTGTGTATCGTATTGATGTAATAGAGGTAAATATACACGGAGTACTGGTTTATGTTTTTATATATTCTTAAAAAAGCATAGTCTTTTAAAGTTGTTGTTTTATCTTCAATGTGACACTAATGATTATTGATGTTCTTATTGATGAACTTGTTGATTATTTTGTTTATAAAACATCAGTATAAACGGATCGAAGTGTTCCTAAAGTCTTCAAATGTAAACAGTCTGAACTCAACGTTTACCGGTTCTGCTTCTCGTTCGATACTAAACGTTTTCTCTGTTTTTATTGTATCAAGAACTTAAATTTGTCCCAATAAAGTTTCCTTTCCTGCTGAATGTTTCTTTGGAAGACGTTATGAACACATTCAATTATTCATCGGTGTTCATGAAACTCTGTGATGTCTGAACTGTTACTGCGACACGTCCACATTCCAGACGCGGTAACGTCACCTCACTGGTGGTTGAGGAGTTAGTGCAAAGGGCGCATGGCAACATAAAGCTAAGCTAAGCTAGCAGGCTAATCCTGGGCGACTCACAGCGCTACAGAAGCTAGTTTTCCTGCACACGTCCATCGTTAATACGTCGCATCTTTAGCGCTACGAGGACGTGACTTTGTGCTTTCTCTTTCAGCCCTCGGAGGCTTCTGATTGGACGACACAAATCATCGTTTCTTCACTGAAGTTTGAGACGTTTCTGTGGCCACGGAAGTGCTAACTGCAACCAAGCACGTTTCTATTTTACTTAAACATTTTAGAACAAACGTGCCTGTTTGGTTTATTTTACATCACAATATATATATATATAAGTGGATAAATTAAATCACAACATGTTTTATCGAGCTTCTTTGCTACATTAAAGCTCTGATGTTGAACTTACGGACTCGAACGTTCTGAAACTGTTCGTCGTCTTTTATCTTCTGTTACAGTTCCTCAGAATAAACTCTCTAGATCTGGAAGAGGGGAAACCTAATTGTTTAAACTAGAATATAAATATAATAAAATTACTGAAGACGACGACAAAAACAGGCCTTTGAACTACAAACATGGCCGCCTTCCACCACAGACTTGGACCCCACATTAAAGGTGGTTTTTGATTAGTAACGGGGATGAATTCATGAGTTCATGTAGCTAATGACACACACACACACACACACACACACAGAAATATCTATTAAAGCAACACAAACGCAACAAACTGTTTAGAACAGGAACTCTTTAAAGAGGGCGGAGCTTCGATTCACATTCAGTCCACTTTAAAGACTCTTTGTTGACTTTTTACCACAGTTGTAAATCTGCAGCACAGAATCCTAAAATCATGTTGAAGTGAAGGTGAATCAAGGCGGAGCTCCGTTAAAGAAGTAATTTTATCATATTTAGCACAAAGAACCTTCACAAGGCTCTGACCCGTAGTACCTTCTGATTCTATCCTGTCTCCTTGTCTCCTTCCCTTTGTGTCACTCTTTTCTTTTATCTGTTTATTTCTTCTTCTTCTTCTCCTATAAATCGACTGATCTGAAGCAGCGAGAGCGACCAAAAAACCCCCTCAGCACGGAAAAATGAGAAGTCTGGAGATGAAGGAGGCGAGGAGGCGAGGAGGGAAGGGAGGAAGATTTGAGGCCCGACCACCTGAGGAGTCGCTCTTCTGGTTTCAGACATGCAGTTAATTAAAGAGTCGCTGGTCTGTTTACAAAGTGCATTGAGAGCCGATGGAAGGAACTGGCTTCATGTATCCTCCTCGATTGGCTCTCTGCTGCCGCCAATCTGGGATTTCCACCAATAATGAAGAGGAGAGGTAAAGGGGGCGGGGCTTATCTCCCAGGTGATAAAAAAACAAAATAAAAAAAGAAGAGGAGGAGGAGGAAGAAGAAGAGAGCTAGTGTGTCTTTGAGGAGGTGCTGCTCTCTGCCTCCTCCTCCTCCTTCACCACCGTGATGGAGCAGATGGAGGAAGAGGAGGCAGGAGCAGCGGAGGAGGAGGAAGGGTTGAGGTGCAGCTCCACCGGCGTTAACGTGATCTCCACCTCCCCCCGCTCCTCGTGCAGCGTGGGGAGAGGAAGAGGAGGAGGAAGTGGGCGGAGGTGTGCGGCGGGTGGTGCAGCGGAGTTGTTGTTGTTGTTGCTGCTGAGCGGCCTTGGAGCTTTCTGGATGACCTCCACCATCGGGGTGCGTCCCAACTCCCAGCCGGTGTTGCCCGTCCCCGGACTCTGGAAGAGGAGCAGCGGCCGGCCGCGGTGGTCCGGTTCCACCGCCGCCGTCTGACACTGCACCACCACGCCGCGGTGCTCCATCAGCCGGCGACCCGGGTCCGACACCGGGCTCAGAACCAGCCCCCCCGGCTGGTCCTGGATCACCAGCTCTAGCACCGGCAGCTGCGAGGAGGAAGAGGAGGAAGAGGAAGAAGCTTTCTGGATGACGCCGCCGGTGACGGAGGTGATGATGGGCGGGTGGGGGGGAGGTTTTGGTGAGAGAGCGGCGGGGGGAGGAGGAGGCGGGGCGTCCTCCGGCCGAGGGTTTCTCGGTCGTCCGCGTTTACGTTTCACCGGCGGTGCGGCGGACGAGGCCGCGCCGCCGCTGCCCGATGCCACGGTCTCCAGGGGGCGCTTGTTTCCGTTCCCTCGTGGTTTTTGCAGTACGGCGGTCGGGGCCGCAGGAGGAGGAAGAGGAGGCGGGGCCAGTTTCTCCCGCTCGTATGACAGACAGCCCTGAGGAAGGATCATCACCGGGACGGGCCCGCCCTGCTGCTGGGGCAGCGTTGCCATGGCGATGACCTTCACCCCGGCACCGCCGGCGGCGGCGGAGCCTCCGGGTCCCGAGGCCCCCCCGACCCCAGAGGAGTCTTTGGGAGCCAGAGAGGGAGGAGAGGAGCGGACGGACAGCTGGGTCTTATCAGGGAGGGAACTACGGGGGAGGATTCTGGGTAACTGCTTCATGAAGGCCTCCACCTGTAGGACAGGAAGTGACTTATTGATGACTTATTGATTGATCTGTTACTTATTGATCTGTTACTGATTGATCTGTTACTG